AAATTAATCATCATTATTTACAAGTTGTGCTTTTACTATTTTTCGTGCTGGATACAGAGTACACTGGGAAAAGACGTTCAATTGCGGCTTTGGAAATGCTCTGTCAGACAATTTAATGAGTCTATGGTACATTCGAAATAGGCACCTCACGACCTGTTATATAAAAAATGCTACGCTTTCTCTTTAAGGCGGGATTATCCCTCACGTATATCCGAGAAATCCTACTAAATAACAGCGGAATATCGACTACGAAAGCCGAAAGAAAGCGAACTGTTTTCATCTGGTAATGGATAACTCTCTTTTCTCTCTGTTTCAGCTGTTGAGGATCCTTCAGCATAATTTGTCTCGAGTAGAGGACGTCAGTGTGCTCAACGTTATGTAAGTATGTTTGCTTTTGCGATCTAACGTAATACCGGTATTACATTTTAAAGGTGGAGAGGGCCTTGTCGAGCACCTGGGTCGATTCCGGGAGGACTGCATAAAATAAACGGACATCGCTTTAAATATGATGAAGCATGCTCGGATTCCGAATTTAATGCTCAAGAAAAACATGCTTGATCGGAAAATGGGTATATTCAACAACAAAGAATGGCGTCAAGTGGATCCACTCTGTACTTCCCAAGCAATTTTGAGCAAATGCACTGTATATTATCTAAGTCAACGTTTGCGGACTCTGGTATTTTCATTATTCGATGGCTATGAGAATCCTTGAACATTGACATAAGACCGTAGAGTTGAATTAATGTAAAGAAAAAATTAAACTATGAACTTCAAACATACACTATGTGTGGTATCTGAGTCAATTGTCATCCTATTTTCCGGCCATGGAAAGCCTTATAACTGGTGATGTAATTAAATAAATATAATTAAAGACACAAGTGGGTAAAATTGCTTATTTGCAATAAGCTAACCTTAAGGAGTGGTTCTTTCATTCTGTGATTACTTTGTTGCTTAAACAAACTGATTCAACTAAATATTTAAAATTTCAGAAAAGTAAAAAGTCTAAATAAAAACTGCTTAAAGTCAATTTTCTCCATACAATGATTTTGTTACCTAATACCTTTATCCACTTGTGTCTTCAATTGCATTTTCAATTATATACAGCAGACGCTCGATAACGTAAACACAGGATAATGAAAACTTGCGCTAATGTAAACACAAACTTCGTTCTATAGGATCAAACGGAACGCGCGATAACGTAAACAATGTGTACGCTCGATAACGTAAACAACTCTCGGCGCACGGAAACAGCGCGATGGTAAAATGCTGAAGCCTCGATGATTTATGTCGGACGTCGGGGAGTCCCCGATTTATGATGTAGAGTGTTGGGGATTCACCTCTGTGATAAAATACGACAAACTCGGTCAGTCGTATGAACGTTTAGGATACGTTTATACGTACGTATGTATTTCATTTTTGAACTTAAGTGAATACATTGCACGCGTTAATATATTTTACGACTATGGCATCCACATCCTATAAAAGAAAGTGTTTAAAGTTGAGTGAGAAAATGAAAATCATAGACGAAGTTGCACTAGGTGCGGGAGTGACACAGCAAAAAAATATGGAGTATCGAAAGCAACAATCTGTAAAATTAAGCGTATGAAAACTCAAATTTTACAAAGAACGTGCAATACATTTGGAGGTCCGGGAAAAAGAAAAACTTTAAAAAATGCGAAGGCACCTAAAATGGAAAATTCCCTGTATAAGTGGTTTTTAAAAGAACGGGAAATCATGTCCCAGTTAGTGGCGAAGTACTTAAACAGAGAGCGAGACTGTTAAATGAAAAACTGAAAGAAACTGAAAATTTCGTAGCTAGTGATGGCTGGCTAAAACGATTCAAAACAAGATATGGAATTCGACTGCTGTCTATATCTGGTGAAAAATTATCAGCACAACCACAATTAGTGCAACCATTCAAAGAAAAATTGATGAAAACAATTACCGAGCTAGATTTAATAATGGAACAAGTTTACAACGCAGATGAAAGTGGCCTTTATTGGAAAATGTTACCAGAGAAACCCTATGCTGCATCATTTGAAAAATCTGTCCCGGGAAGAAAGCCAGAGAAACAACGAATAACGTTTCTAGCCTGCACTAATGCTAACGGTTCACACAAAATAAAGCCACTGGTAATTGGGAAAGCAAAAAATCCGCGCTCATTTAAAAATGTTAATATCCCTGTTGATTATGACTGTTCAAAAACCGCTTGGATGACTAGCAGTATATTCCTGAAGTAGTTCCATAGGTGCTTTGTTGTATGACAATCAATTATCACAAATGCTCTATTCATAATTTGAAGATGTGTTTTCAATTTGTATGTAAAAGGTTTCCTAAAACAACAGAAGCTTCCAATAAAAGCGTTGTTACTATTGGATAATGCACCAAGTCATCCTCCCGAGCAACAACTGGGGAGCAGGGATGGGTCAATTTTCGTCATGTACATGCCGCCCAACGTAACACCGTTAATTCAACCGATGGACCAGAATATAATAAGACTCACCAAACTATACTATAGGAAGTTTCTACTTTCGTCTGTCTTATCAAAGAATCCTGAAAACTTATCTGAGGCTTTTAAAAAAGTAACATTACGAGAAGCTGTTTTAGATTTACATATGGTCTGGAATGAAATTAACCAGCAAACTATTCAAAAATGTTGGAACAATCTCTTTTGTACCAATAATGAAGATGATGAAGAAGACGATGTCCCCTTAAGCGTAATTAGAGAACGTTTGCGATCCAATAATGATAATGTTATTAGTGTGTCATTGGATGTTGTTGATTTATTGAAAACAGTGAATCCCAACGTTGTTTGTACTCCTGCTGATATTAATTTATGGAACGAAGATAAGCAGACGAATGATGCTGATAAGGAGGAGGATATGGACAGTGAGGATGATGAGAACGATCCCATTGAATTCAGAAGTGTAGTGACTGACGCGCAAGCTATACAAGTTTTTAACCAAGCTTTAGATTGGGCTGAAAGAAAAGAAGTTTCATACACGGATATTTTAGTTCTTCGTAAATTACGGGCGCAGGCATTGGAAGACAATGCTAAGCGCAAATTTACGCAGACAAAAATTGTTAATTATTTTTCTTCTAATTAAAAAAATACTTATCGCTGTTAGAATATTTGTTTATTTTGTTATAAATAGTATGTATTAAACGTTTCTTTTAATAAATCAAATATTATATAAATCATGTTCGCTAATGTAAACATTTCGATAATGTGAACCACACTTGGATTAAATTAGTTTACATTATCGAGCGTCTGCTGTATATATTTTTCTTGAAATACATAATTGTTCCGACTACTAAACATGATGCGTAACACCTCGACAACCTTCGTATGCCCTAGTATCATAACATTGTCGCGCGTCGTCGACACCCTCGATGAAGCTGTGGCTGCTGGGGCTCCGTCGGCACCGTTGCTGAATTTGGATCGGACCCTCCACAGGTAAAAGATGTCGCATATTCTTAGGATCTGCTGTTGCTGGAGTCACAGACGTAGACATTATGCAAAATGTGTACTATATTCGAATCACAAATTTCTGAAAAATTTCCACTGATACCAAATAAGCAACATCACAACCTCGTACGCCTCCTACAACTTCCAACCGACAATCCCCTACCCCTACAAAGATTTTCCTGAAAATGGTCCGGAGTCTCTAAAATGTCAAAAACCGAGGTTAGGCGATTTTTATTATTTTTTATTTTTCTCCTTTTGCTCTAGCTCTGCCGCCACTTTAAAGACCACAGAGTTTTTTTGTCCTTGGTACAGTAGTAGTAACTTTGTATGATAGTTTTATCAGAATCTGACAGATGTTTTTCATGTTACAGTGGGGACAAAGATTAGTATGTCATATAACATTCCAAAACCGTAGTATCTCGTTTCCGAAATTTTTCAAGCTTGGCACATTATATTGGTGTAGTGTTTCCCGAAACCAAAATCGCTGCTTACACATGAAAAAAACAACGTCACTCTTTTTGATTCATTGTCTGTAACTCTTAGCTCCTCTATAATTTGTAATTTCAAAAAGAAACATACAGGGTGTAAACGTTATGATAGTCATTATTTAGATGGTTGATATAGGGGGTTAAAAGAAGCAAATAGTTTCATATAACATGGGGGTGAAAACGGCATTTCTTTAGAGTAAAGCGACTTTAAAGTAAACTAAAATCTGACAACGCTGCAATGCCAGGCGCAATTACGACGGAACGCAGAGTTAATAAAGATGGAGTTTGTTATTTTTGGCTCTTAGGTATCATTTCAATATTTGATAATATACTCATAAAATGCAAACAATTAAAAAACGGCCTTACCACTCACTGTCTCAGCGCTTCACCTGGTGTGTGGAAGTTTATTGAACGTATTAAAAAAATCCACTTATAAATAGGGAACATATAAGGATACATACATTGTTTTTATTTTTAAAACCCACACTGCACTTTATTTGTATGTAAAAAAGGTGTTCAAAATGTCGTCATCCACTTTCCACAGAAGCTTGATTACGACGAACCCAGTTTCTTCTTACTCTAGGTACTCGAAGTTGTCCATTTATTATTTCAGCCACATTAAAGTTTTTTCGCGAAGTTGTGCTTCAGTTGTTATAAGCCCCATAAACCATCCCTTTAACTTATTTCCAATACCAGAAATGTATCGGATTGAGATCAGGAGATCTTGCTGGCCATTTTCGAGGATCAGGAGCATTTCGACCCATCCAACGATTTGGATAATGTTCATTCAAATAATGAATGACGCCTCTAAAAATGTGTGGTGGTGCCCCGTCATGAAGGAACCACAAATTCTGTCTCCGTTGTAATGGCATGTTGTCTAAGGCCCGTATCGTCAGTCGTCCCTACAATTGAATCGGTGAGTCCAAGAACAGTACAAGTCCAAAAAATGGCGTATTGAGTTAAGATAGCCAAATTGTTTAAAATTCGAAGACTCGTGTGTTGTGCTTAAAAACATTACAATGTTCAGGAATAATTCGGCTATACGCGCCACCTCTCTACGGCGTTGAGATGGAAAACATTACAAGTCCAGGACATGTACTGTTTTCGACCTCACTGATGTGGGTGTCACACATCGCGCGCGAGGTGGCGATAATAAATTATAAGAGTTAGGTTATCTCACTGCCTAGACAAACTTAATAGTTGGAAGAAGTTATTTTTGAGAACAACAATGATTAGTTCTAACGAGAGTGATGATAGTGCCGAAGGTTTGCATGGGAGTAGAAAGCGAAAAAGGAATCCGAAAGTTTGGAAAGACAATAAAAGGAAAACTGCTGCTCTTAAAGGTGAAGCCTATGTTTCTACATCCGGAAAAAGGGTTGCACCAAAATCATCTGGGTCTCCATGTGGGTAAGTGTTATTATCGATACTAAAAAGCACAGAGTAGTAACTTGCGTATTTTAAAGGTGCAAGGAGAAGTGCACAGAGAAGTTTCCCGGTGAAGAAAAAACCATCTTAATTTCCAAACTATATGACGGTAGGCCCAAAAATGAACGTGACACATTTCTTCAAGGCCTAATTGAGGTGACAACCATTTCAAGACGTAGAGGACGAGTCCAAGCTAATGCTAAGCCCAAATCCGCAAGTTTTAAGTACTCTATATTGGAGAGCTCTGGAAACCGTGTGGCAGTATGCAAGCGAGCTTTCATGAGTATTTACGGTGTGTCACATATGCAAATTCAACGCTTAACTACATTGCTTGTGGCCGGCGCATCTCCAAGAGATTTAAGGGGCCTACACAATAACAGGCCACGTTCCAAATCAGATGAAGTACTAATCAGAATTAGGGAGCACATAGAACGTTTCCCACGTAAAAGTACTCATTATTCTTCTAGAGTACATCAATACCTAGATGCTAGGCTAAATGTTAAAACAATGCACTCTCTATTTATTAAAGAAAATCCTGATTTGCAGCATGATGTTAAGTATGAATTCTATTTAAAGTACTTCAAGGAAAATTATGCACTCAAATTTGGAAGACCACAGGTGGACGTCTGTTCCGAATGCGAACGATTAGGCGCCAAGATTAAAAGTAAAGATTTGAATGATAATGCAAAGCGAGTGGCCACAGCAGAACTGATAGTCCATAAGCGACGTGCCAAAAAATTTTATAATAAACTGCAGGATATCCAAAAACTCTGTCAAAATCGACATGAAGTTGCCGGTATTACTTTAGATTACATTCAAAATCTACCCCTCCCGAATATACCAGTTCAAGAGATCTTTTATTTTCGGCAACTATGGGTATATGCTTTAGAAATTCATAATTTATCAGACAATTCTGGACATTTTTACACATACCACGAAGGGCATGCCTGCAAAGGACCAAACGAGGTCTGCACATTCCTCAAAAACTACATAGAGACTCACATTCCTGGAAACGTGACAGAGCTGCATATATTTTCTGACGGCTGTCCTGGTCAAAATCGGAATAACACAATAGTGAGATTTTTCCTAGCTCTACAAGCAACCAAACGGTTCAAAAAAATTTATCATTATTTTCCTGTACGGGGGCACTCGTTCTTGCCCTGCGATAGAGACTTTGGAACTTTGAAAAAACTTGTACGAAGAAGCGACCGAGTGTATTTACCAGAAGAATATCAAGAGATGATAGTATCGTGCAGGAAGAACAACCCGTTTACTTTTAAAGAGATTACCTACAAAGATATCATTGACTTTAAAAATTGGTGGCCTTCTAGCTACAAAAAAACTGCGTCTTCGATACCTAAACCTGGTGATACCACGCAGGCATTCACTGTTTCAAAGTATAGGCAGTTTGTTTATGATAGTTCTTCTCCAGGATATGTTACTACCTCTGAATATATAGATGGTTTTATTTCTTATACTTTTAAGCTCCTCAAACAGAACAAACCAAGTCCTCCTTTGCCAGAGATACGCGCATATCAAGAGCCGGTTCCCGTCAACCATAAGAAGATCACCGATATCAAAAAAGTCATGAAGTACATTAACGGTGAAACATTAGAATTTTACTACCATGTAACTTCCTGGAAGCAAAGCTACGCAAACGGAGATCCCGATGACTAATATTTTTGTATGGATTCGCCCAATAAAATATTTTTCATATGTCTAGCAGCCTCTATAAGAGTTCCTTTCCAACTCTATTATACGCTAAATCTGCAAAAATGTACAAAAAAAAGACTGAGTTCAAGAACAGTACAAGTCCATGAACTTCACCCTTCTACAACTTCGAGGGGTGTGATTTTTGTCTATTTTTTATTTAAAATTAGTATTCATATAAAGAATCACTAACATTTTTGTATGATAGCCAAAATGGTAACTCTACACATTCGGGAGCTATGAAGTTTTTTCGCGTTTTCTCAGAACTATCTTTTTGGACTTGTACTGTTCTTGGACTCACCGATTCAATTGTAGAGCGCCTTTATGGCCTCCTTGATTGTCATAGTTTTCTACTTCTCCGTGTCAGAGCTCTATTTTAAGGTTATGTCACAAACATCTATTTGCATCAAATTGTTTTTTTTTTTTTTTTTTTTTATATCGAAACAGCCGCGCAGGCAGAAGCCTAAATGCCGGAACACCGCGGCTGCTATGATGATTCCAAAGAAATTTTGTTAATACGATTTTTGAACTGCCTAAGGTTAGTAGAACTGGGAAAAGCTTCCTCCCGTAGTTTGTTCCACAATCTAGATACCCTCGGGATAAAGGAGCGGTCGTATCGGCCAGTTCTGGATGTACAAAGTTTGACACGGTTAGGATGGGACGCCGAAGTCAGGCGGGTCTGTCTGGCAGGCACATCGCGCGGCGGCATCATGGACGAGAGCTCTGAGGAGCAAAGCCCCTTGGTGTAGCGATAGAAAAGAGCTAGATCGCCGACGGCCCGCCGGTGCGAAAGAGTCCCGAGACTGTCTGTTAGAGAAGAGTCATCGATCAGTCGGACCGCCCTCCTCTGGACAGCATCGAGCATGGACAATGTAGTCGGGGCGGCAGCACCCCAAATGTGTGAGCAATACTCGAGGCTAGGCCTTATCTGGGCCTTGTATAGAGTGAGAAGGTCATGCGGAGAAAAGTACTTCTTAGCCCTAAACAAATAGCCTAGCTTTTTCCCAGCAGCTGCAGCTATTGAAGAGATGTGTTCGTGCCAGATCAGGTCCTCGGTGATCTGGACTCCAACCAACCGAAATGAATGGCTCTTTGGTAGAACTCGACCATCCATCGAAACTGTATGAGCGCTAAGACGCTTTTTGTTCGTCAAAGTACAGTACTGTGTTTTGGAAGCATTGAACTGTACAAGATTGTTGCGTCCCCAAGCAGTGATAGCCTCCAGGTCTCTTGTCAGAGAAGAAGTCGTCGCTAGTCTTCTTTTTTCCAGCTCAGCGGCAGAGATCGGCTTGTCACTCTGAATTCCTGCATGTAGAGTGCTGTCATCAGCGAAGCTGTGGATTGGGTTGATCGTGCAGGAAAGGAGGTCGTTGATATGTAAGAGAAACAGTGTTGGAGCCAAGACCGATCCCTGGGGAACACCCGCGTTGACGTTGTGGGATGAAGAGGAGAATCCGTCAATTATGACGGATATCTTGCGGCCAGAAGTCAGCGTCCCATCTGCAAAGCTTTTCTGGGAGGCCGTAGGATGGAAGTTTGCTTAAGAGGGCAGCGTGCCACAGCTGATCGAACGCTTTCGTGATGTCAAGAGCAACGACATGAGCCTCACCATGAGACTAGATGAGGTTACTCCACAGTTGCGTGACGTAAGCTAGGAGGTCCCCTGTGGATCGTTGGTTCCGGAAACCGTACTGCCTATCGCTAATCAAGCTGTGACGTTCGAGGTAGACCAGAAGCTCGCGATTTATGCACCTCTCCATCACTTTACTTATAACAGAAAGCAGAGCTATAGGCCTGTACTTCTAAGGATCGGTCTTAGATCCTTTTTGTCGGATGGGCTGGACATGAGCATATTTCCAGTTTTCTGGGAAGGTGCCGGATTCATAAGATATCTAGAAGCGGCGCGAAAGAACTGGAACTGGAACTGTTGATGTCGAGCGACAAGAGCACTCGTCTTACGGTCTTATGCCTGAATGTTACATCCCGCATAGTGTGAGGAACCCTTTGAATTGACGGCACTTGGTGGAGTTGGCAGCAAAGATCTTGGCTAGCACTTCCGCCTTGGCCTTTGAGTCGAATACAATAGTTCCATCCTGACACGTAAGTGGTGGAAGGCTACTGTGTGAGAAGTTCTTTTCAATCTGCTTGGCCAGCGTCCAGAAAGACCGACTGCCATTGCGCTGCGACATTACCCTGTGCCTAACTTTTATATCATGCTGGGTTTTGGCATTGCGAACCGCTTCGTTATATTTGTTTCTGGACTCGACGTCGGCTTGTCTGTTCTCTACAGTGGGGTTTTGTAAGTAGGTTCTGTGGGCCTTGATCTTCTGCTGGCGAGCAGTGTCACACGATTTGTTGAACCAGCCGTTGGAGCCTGGTTTAGGAGCTTTCACTGTGTGAGGGATGTATTCCTCCATTCCGACGTGGATAATTTCGGTTATCGAAGAACAGACAGTCGACGCATCCGCGTCAGTGAAACAGACATCTCTCCAAGGAAAGCTAGAGAAGAAGTCTCTGAGCCCCTCCCAGTCGGCATGTCCGTAATGCCAAGTTTTGCGGCCTGTGCGAGTTTCTGCGGCCACAGCGGCTTCTGACCGAAACCTAACCTCCACAACACCGTGATCTGAGTTACCCAGGGGGGACAGGACGGCAGTGCTGTAAGGGGCAGGATGCGTGGTCAGAAAGAGATCCAGCAGGCTAATGGCGTGTGACGAGACGCGGGGGAAAAAAGTAGGGCTCGTCACCAGCTGGGTCAGCCCTTGAGTAAGAGCGAACGCTTCGACTGCACGACCTGCTGCATCGGTCTTATTTGAGCCCAACCAAAGCTCATTATGGGCATTGAAATCACCGAGAAGAACTACCTCTGAAGCGGGGTGATTGATGTTCAGGAAGTCGATCTGGACGGCGAGGTATTCGAGTAGGTCATCCCAGTTATGGTTCGAGGGAGAGCGATAAAGGCAGCAAATAAATTTGGGTGATGTTTTGGAGTTGAGGCGAAGCCACAGAATGTCCTTCCGGTCTGATTCCAAAGAAAAATCCCTGGAGCAGGAAAGACTGCTGCGGACAAAAGCCACAACTCCCCCGTTCTTTCTCAGATTGGAGTGCACCTCGTAGTTTGGGAAGTTGAGATGGTTAATCGGTGCAGCCTCTGAGATTTTTGTCTCCGCCAAGAAAAGCACGGCGGTGCTTGCTTTTGAGTTATATCATGTTTTATCAGCCTGAAATTTCCTACAATTTAAAAAGAAAACATATCTTCACAATAGGAGAGCGCTGACGCTGACACGGGACAAGTGTAATCTAGAAATTTTTGAAGGAGAGAAAGCAGTATGACAATCAAGGAGGCCATAAACGCGCCCTACAGTTGTAGGGACGACTGACGATACGAGCCTAAGGTCTGTTCCAAAAGTTCTGGTAGATTATTGGCTAGAAAGCTAAGGTATCCTTCTCCTGACAACTTTGGGGCTAACTCGAAAGGGCCAATGACCTGTTCGTCAAGAATACCCGCCCAAATATTTATTTTAAAACGCTGTTGGAAATGACCTTCACGAATGGTATGAGTATTATGGAAATTTAATATCCCATCTCGTACATTCGTCCATCGCTAGAATGTTTTTTAAAAAAATCCGGATTTTCAATGTTTTTGTGCAAAAACCATTGACAGAATGTTAGCCTGCGAGGATAGTCTTCTGGTAACAAAGCCTGCACTCGTTGTACATGGTAGCGATAAAGCAACTTTTCCCGTAGGACTATGGTATGCGATAGTCCTACGCGGCGGCCTAATTTCCGAGTCCTTATATCTGCATTGATTTCCACGATATTCAAAATTTGTTCCTCCTGCTCTACAGTAACCTGTCTTTCACGACTGCGAATATTAGTGGGCTGAACACTTCCTGTATCTCAAAGTCTTTGGTACACTTGCACAAATGTCTTTCTGTCTGGGTGTACCCGTTGGCGAAATCTGTCGCGATAAATTTGAGCTGCAAGATTTGAATTCTGACGAGCTTCACCGTAAACTAACAACATGTCGGCGAACTCTTGACGATGTACGCGAACAAAAACAAAACAGCACGCCCGATGTCCGATAATTAACCACTATTACCGATTGCGATCGATTGCCGGTTCGATAAGAGTGATGACGACGCGCCGTTGTCATGTGTGTGTAAAATATTCGATTTAATGAAACTTACTTACTCACTGACTACAAATTTTGCCTTAACTTAGAAAAACTTAATGCGATTTATTTTTTAATTACCCACTTTAAAAACGTTTTAGATTAGATTATAAAAATTAGTAAGATTGTGGTGATAGTGTTCGATATAAAGCACTTAAAGTGGTAAACTATACAGCCATTTAGACAAAAATCTATTGACTTTTGGACCATGGGTCATATGAACTTTTTGACCTGTTTTGACCCCCCTATTACCCATTTTAATAATGTCTACCATAACCTTTACACCCTGTATACAGTAATGTAGCTATCGTTCGTCCGACCTCAAACGGCCTACCGTGAACAGCTTTTTCGTGCTATTTGGCAACTCCTCAGCATGGTGCAGACCTAGTCTCGGGAAGGACAACGAAACGAAAGTTGAGCAACTGTCCTCTATTCTCATTATAAGTTCTATCGAAATAAGTCAGCTCAAAGTTATGTCTATTACCAGAATCGACTACTACGAGAGTGAAAACATCTAGAGGTCACAGTGGTGCCAGGGTTACAGTACGAACTGGGATACAGCTACGATAAACAGCCTACTGTTTCGACTCTCGAAATGGTCGATTCTGGTAATAGGTGGCACTTTGTCCTGTCTTATTCTGATAAACATCTATATGTTTAGCTCGTTTTATCAAGGATGCGAAACAGGACTGTGTATAACAGACCTGGAATATAGAGGTATCATGAAGGAGACCATACTGCGTATTTCATTGGGTAGTCGCTTGAAAAGGACCAGATCACATGCTACTCGCTGGCC